AAACAACAGCAATAAAGTAAACAGAATAGAAAGAGCTCCTTATAAGTGGGGTCCTCTTGATCACCTCTCTTTTCATTTGTGCTGGGAGCTCCAGTTCTGAACGGCCAGCTCCGGTACCAGGTGCTCTTTATCCCTCCATCTCTAAATTAAGAATGAACCTCAAACAGAGACAGGGTACTCAAGTCTTTCCTTCTCAACAAAGGAATCTTTTCAACTGATGTTCTCATTCAGCAATATTTCCTAGGTGGGAAAAGAAAAGTATTGTCAACATCCCCCTTCCCAGTTCAGAGGTCTTAAATTCATAAAGGGAACTAAGGCTTTTGATAGACCATCCATATGTGATGTCTGGTCAATTGGATCAATACCTTGGGCCCCAACTTTGTACCTACCTGAGTTAATGTCATTATTTTTTTTAATTAATTTGTTTTATTTCATGTGCATTGGTGTTTTGACTGCACTGGAGTTACAGACAGTTGTGAGCTGCCATGTGGGTGCTGGGAATTGAACCTGGGTCCTCTGGAAGAGCAATCAGTGCTCTTAACTGCTGAGCCATCTCTCCAGCCCCTAACGTCAGTATTGAGTATTGCCTTCTCTGGTCAACAGAGGGGATGGTAAGAAGGGCTGTCTGCACATACATACATGTAGGCAAAACACAAAGACAAGATTCCTGTTTAAGTGGAGGTCACAATCTTTTTGGGGGCTGGAGAAATGGCTCAGCAGCTAAAAGCACTTTTGGTCTTGCAGATGACCTGGATTTGGTCCTCAGCACCCACATGGTGTCTCAAAACTACCTGTGAATTTCAGTTCCAGGGGCTCTGACATCCTTTTCTGAATCTGAAGGTACCAAGCCCACATGGTACGCAGACATACATGCTGGCAAAATACTCATACACATAAATCTAACATCCCCCCCCTAAAAAAAAAACCCACAAAAATTAATGATAAAAAAGGAGTGCTGTGGCTGGGTAGGGTGTGATGAAAAGAAATTAAAAAAAGAAAAACCCAATCAACAACACACTTGGAATAATAACAATGAGGTTCATCGAGGCCACATGAGGGATCTTTGAAACTTGGCCATAAGAGGGATTGGAAAACCAGTACTCCTAGACTACAGATAAAACCTTTAATATACAGTAAGGAAAAGAAGGGCTCACAGTGTTTCTAGAAAGGCTAAAGGATCAGATGAAGGAGTATTCGGGCTTAAATACCAAAGAGTGACTGGGACATGGCATGGTAAAGCTACACTTAGTAATGAACAGCTGGCCAAACACAGTAAAAAGTTACACAAGATTGAGGTTTGAAAGGACAGAAGATTCTAGAGGCAGATCAATACCACTAATGCAGGGAAATGACGAAGGGATGGAAAAGAAAACATGAAGTAATATTGCACATGACTTTTGCAGAGGATTAAAAACTCTAATAAATACCTTTTGTTGTCTCAAACTGCAGTTCCAGGGCTAACGTGGAGAGTTTGGGCTCTGAGTGTGCTTTCTTTTCTGCCTTGTTTTCAAGGAGTATGCCCTCACATCCAGATCATTTTGATCATGTGCCCAAGGCTCTTGTTAAAATGTATTTTTTTCTTTTTCTTTTTCTAACCACAGGGAGAAAAAAAAAGATATAAAAGTTCAAGGGGAGAAAAAGTTTGCTTGAGACTTGCAACAGGAAAAAAGCTTGGTGATTAAAAGTATGTATTGGTAATCTTAATTTGCTATTATGTGCCCTGTATGTTATTTGAATTTGATTCTTATTTAGGGAAAGAAATAGTAAATGTGTATGAGGGAATTATTGAGAAGGATGTAAGTATGAGTTCATATTTTTTTTTATATAAAGTGTTTAAAAAAGAGGTACTTTAAATAAGCATCAATTTTATGTAACAAAACAAGGTTTTTGTCCTAGGAATAAAAAATAAATGAAGACTTAGTTACTGTTTTATTGCTATGAAGAGACAACATGACCAAGACAACCTATAGAAGAAAGACTTTATTGGGGGTTTACACTTTCAGAGACTGAGTGTACTGGCTAGTTTTATGTCAACTTGACCCAAGCTAGAGTTCTCTGAAAGGAGGGAAACCTCAATTGAGAAAATGCCTCCATAAGATCCAGCAGTTAGGCATTTTCTTAAATAGTTATTGATGGGGGAGAGCCTCGACCATTGTGGATGGGGCCATACCTAGGCTGGTTTCTTTTTGTTGTTGTTGTTTTGTTTTTTTGAATCAGGGTTTCTGTGTGTAGCTTTGCGCCTTTCCTGGATCTCGCTCTGTAGACCAGGCTGGCCTCAAACTCACAATGATCCACCTGCCTCTGCCTCCCAAGTGCTGGGATTAAAGGCGTGAGCCACTACTACCCAGCTGGCCCTGGGTTCTATAAGAAAATAGGCTGAGCAAGTCATAAGGAGCAAGCCAGTAAGCAGCACTCTTCCATGGTTTCCGCATCAGCTCCTGCCTCCAGGTTCCTGCCCTTCTTGACTTCCTGTCCTTCACTGATGAACAGTGATGTGGAAACATAAGCCAAATAAACCCTTTCCTCTCCAAGTTCCTTTGGTCATGGTTTCATCACAGCCATAGTAACTAAGACAGTGAGTTCAGGACCATCATAGTAGGGAACATGGCAGCAGGCAGGCAGGCATGGCGGGCCAGTAACTGAGAGCTTATATCCCTTTTTGTCAAGCAGGAGACAGACAGAGAGAGGAGTAACTGGGCTTTTGAAATATCAAAACCCACTTCCGGTGACCCATTTCCTATAATGAGGCCACACCTAACCCTTTCCAAATAGTTCTACCAACTACCAAGCTTTCAAATACATGAGCCTGTGGAGGCCATTCTCATTCAAAGCACAGAGAGTATAAAACCATTAAAGTTTAAAGCCAAGTCATGGAAGGTCTGAATAAATTATATAAGGTCTGTGGAGAATGGGACTTCAGGGTGATATATATTTGATAATAATAGTTGACTATAATCCTCAGATTATACTGATCTACTCCTGATAAAATTTGCAATTTTTTTTTGTTTTGTTTTAAGTTTTGAGACAAGGGCTCACTGTATAGCCATGGCTATTCTGGAACTCACTATATCAACCAGCCTGGCCTTGATCATTCACAGTGATCTGCTTATGTCTGACTCTTGAGTGCTAGGATTAAAGGTGTGTGCCTCCACACCTGGTTCCATGGTATTCTCAAATAGATAAAAGTTGCAAATATTTGTCAGAGAATGAATAAACAAATCGTCGAGTATTTTGGAACATGATCCAGCCATAAAAGTACATGACGTATGGATGAATCTCTCTCTCTCTCTCTCTCTCTCTCTCTCTCTCTCTCTCTCTCTATATATATATATATATATATATATAATCTGAGACAGGGTCTCTCTCTATAGTCCTGGGACTCACTATGTAGTGAGTGCTCTGCCTCCCAAGTGCTGGGATAAAAGGCACACCACTACACTCTGCTCTGGATGAATCCCGAAAGTGGAAGAAGTTAGATACAAAAAGTCACATAGTGTATGGTTTTACTTATATGAAATATTCAGAGTTAACAAATCCACAGAGACAGAACGCAGGTTTATCATTGGTAAGGCTTTCACTTTGGAGTGATGGAACCACACAGAATTGGCAGTTATACCACATTGTGACTATGAAATGCACTGAATGGTCAGTCATGTGAATTTCATCTCAGACATTATGTCCCTATTTAGTCTATTTAATTTGGTCCCTTCAAAAACCAGCTACATCATAAAGCATGACAATGGACCCCTAAAACTTGTCAAGACGTAGTCTAATGACAGCTCTTGTGTGGTAGTTGGTACCTTGTGAGCCCCCCGACCCCAACACCAGTGCCAGTGGATAAAGGCACTTTCCCTCGGAGAAAACAGCCCCAGCAGGCCATCTAAAAACTGCCTCTCAGGCTCTGCTTCCAGGAAACCTGATAGATACAAAACAGCTACGTGAAATCAATATTGGTACATTTTTTTTTTTAGTACATGAAGTCTATCTCAACAAAGCTATTTACATAAAAAGAAATAGTTACTGGGATAAAATGGAGTTCAGTGGTAGAGCACTTAACTAGCTCATGAGGTCCTAGACTCAAAAGCCCAAAATTGCAGCACACACATGTGCAACACACACATACACACCTACCCACCCACCCAGCTGATTAATCATTTACAGTAACTATTTTTTTTTTCTTTTTAGAAAGAGTTTCACTCTATAGCTCTGGATAGCCTGGAATTCATTATGTAGACCAAGCTGGACTTGAACTCAGAGATCCACCTGCTTCTGCCTCCTGAGTGCTGGGATTAAAGGCATGTTCCACCATGTTCAGCAACAAGTTTTTTTGTTCTAGAAATCTTACCTCATCTGAGTAATGCATTCCTGAAAATCCCTGATCAGAAGTCAAAGTTGAACACGTATCATTTTACTTAAAGGGGAAACACTTGTTGCTGAGCTCTTAAATCAATATTAAATTAAAAAACACACAAACAATAAATTCCACTGAAACGGTCTCCTGTAGTCAACCAAGACTTGGGTTACAGCATGGCAGCAGATCAAGGCAGTCTTCCTTCACCAGTATGGTTGATGTTTCTCTTTGTATATTTCAGACTACAAAGTACACAAAGATACTTAGTATGGTGGTTTGAATGAGCATGACTCCCATTAGTTCATGTGTGAATGCTTGGTCCCCAGTTGGTGGAACTGTCAGAAAGGATTAGCAGGTGTGGCCTTGGAGGAGGTGTGGCCTTGGAGGAGGTGTGTCACTGAGGATGGGCCTCTGAGGCTTCAAAAGACCACTCACCATTCCCATTGGTTCTTTCTGCCTTGTGCTTGTGGTCAAATGCAAACTCTCAGCTACTGCCCCGGCTCCATGCCTCCCGCCTGCTGCCATGCTCCCCGGCATGATGAACCTGGACTCATCCTCTGAAACTCACTCTCATTAAACACTTCCTTCTCTAAGTTCCCTTGATCATGGTGTTTTGTCACAGCAGTAGAAAAGTCACTGAGACACTTAATGTTTATGAAATTTAATCTTTATTGTACAAAAGGAAACAATACAAACAAAATAATAAAGACAATGGAAATGATGCTGAAGACAATCCTAAGTGCAGGCCAGCAAGCTGCAGGAGGCAGGGCAGCTCTTCCCAGGCCATTTCCTGCCACCCACAGAAGATGCTAGACAGGTGGAGGAACACTTTCTACCCTGAGATGGAGGCTTCAAAAGAAGCTGTTGTTCACGTGGTGGGCAACAGTAATGTGCGGATATGACCAGATATGGCTAGACTTGGCGTGTTTTCACGTGACTGCAACAGAGTCCTGTTCCTGTGCTCTCAACCCGACCTAGAACAGCTCCTGAAACAGCACTAAAAAAATCTGGAATCAACAGTCGTCTGTCCAAAATATTGTTGAAAAAGTTGGCTGGGAGACTCAGAGGGCAAAGGGACAGAGGTCACAGATTCTGCAGGACACAGCGTAGTTAGGGGCCAGCAGTCCTGTCAGCAGCAAGGAGAATCCCTGAGGTCAGTTTGGGATGAAAGACAACAAACATTGCATGTCTGGTAAGAAAACATGAGCATGTTCACTGATTCTACACTGCCAGGCTGCTGGTGGGGTGGGGAGATTCGAAAGACATGGATCCCTCATCCTGCTGTAGGAAGTTGGTGGGATATCATGCCTGTCTAGTGTGTTTGTGTTGACCTCATCATGGACCACAAAACAGTGGGTTTGCAGGAAGTTGAGGAGAGATGTTGGGCATTCCAAATGGCTCCCTGATACCCCTACTCAGCCACGTGTGGGTGTCCTCTTGATTAAGAAGACGGGCTCTTGACCATGCCACTGTGCTCTTGGTCTGGTGTATCCTCCTCTTTCTGCTCCAACTTGAAGTTCTGTGAACAAGGTCATAGGTGAGGCCTGATCCCGCATTTGTCCAATTACAGTTCTAAGGCATTGAGTGGTGGCAAAGGCAGGCAAGACTAGTCTGATGGATTATGCGTTTACATCTCTGAAGAAATCATCTACTTTTTCTATCGTACCTGAAACCGGGCCTGACTTACCTCAAGCTCCTGTAAAACCTCATCCATGAAGTCCTGGGAGCTTTCCTTATAAGCCACAGCTAATCGAATTGCGTCATTGAAGAGCTGAAGGTGAGGCAGAAATGGCAGAAGTAGAGCAGTGGGCAGGGTCTTGGACCACCTTGTAATCTTCACTGTGCCTTCTCATCACCCTGCTCCCACAGTCAGTGGACTCTGTCTCACCAAATGTGGTCCTCTCTGCTGCACCCAGCCACCCACTGTCCTTGTTTTCCTCCTTTCCCTTCCCTCCTCCCTGGAACTCCAGGACCCATAAGCCACTTCGGCAGACTGCCTCTCGTTTGCCATTACCTTCACCACATTGGTACCATCGGCAGCTGAGACGAAGTACAGGGGCAGGGAAAACTTCTTGGCGAAACTGAAGTTCTTTTGAGTCATCTGTATGTCTGCTGCAGAAAGAAGCAGGGCATTGGCCAGTCCACCCAGGGAAAGGGGAGAGTTTGGAAGGAGGGCCACTGGAGGCTCTGTGCTAGGAAGTAGGGAAGGGGCACTCAGTTAACAGAGATCTGTGTCTTGGGAGGGCAGGTTTTGCTGCTGGCATCCCCACTGTGAAGGGAGTATCTTGGGAATGAAAAAATGACTGGAAGGCTACCCATCCTTGGAAAGAAGGAAATGTGTGAGGCTGGGTCCCCAGGAATTACTGTCACCCCGGTGCAGGGGTGGCCCCACCATCAATTTTATTGGCCACCAGGATGCATGGGATCTCCGGCCTGAACTCCCGAAGCTCTGCATACCAGGTACCCAGGTTCTTATAGGTGATTTTCCTCTGGACATCAAATACCTAAGAGGGTAGAAGACAGTTTAGATGTGACAAAGTAACCTTATCAGTTCCAGACAACACACACTCAAATAGGTGTATGTAAACTCAGACCAGCTCCAGAAGAGGGCCATAGAGAAACCAATGGGCACACACCACAGGTGAAGTCAGTCCCAGACAGAAAAGAGGTAAACTCAAATACCAAATGCCAGAGCAGGACTGAAACTAAAATGGCTGATGCTCCCCCGCCTCCCCTAACACACTCACTCTCTCTCCTCTCTCTCTCTCTCTCTCTCTCTCTCTCTCTCTCTCTCTCTCTCTCTCTCTCTCTCTGTGTGTGTGATTTCTGGGGTTACATTGCTCCATTTGCCTTATTTCACCATCTTTTATATTTAGTACCCTTGGTTATTAGAATTAAGAGTTTTTAGGTTGTCAAGGGCTTTTGTGCTTAAGGGACTGTGGAAGAACAGGTGATGAGCCCCTTCTGTGACCCCCTCACTGTCCTCATCCACTAGCTGACAAGCTCCTCCAGGTGGCCTTTATGTGCGAGCGGGCCTACGGCCCCCCGCGCAGTGCTACCCGCCTCCCCCGTCCTTGGCTGCGGTCGAGGTGGTGTGTTCTCCTCGGAGGCGGCGGAGGCGGGGAGGAGGGGGGTGGGGAAGTGTGGCTTCTTGTGCCGTGCCGCCCCGCGAGAGGCCGGTCTGCACACCACTATCAGTCTATGTACACAAGTAGTCAAGAGTCCTGTGTATGTAGTCAGGAAAGAGCAATCAGCGGAGGCTGATGGAGATGCTGGCATCTAAGAAGAAACTGACCACAAGCAACATTTTCATTGAATGGGTATAAACTGCAGAAGGAGGAGCAGTTGGGGGATGGTGAGAAGAATGGACCAGCCTCTCTGTATCCCCCTGTGCTACTCCTTATGGATGAGATGGTACCCATTCATAATGAGAGCAGTGGTGTGTGTATTGTAGGAGGTAGGGCTAGACGGGTTAGGTGGTGTTAAATGCTATAAAATGCCAGGGCAAACTTTTTTTTGTAGGCAGACTTACAGCTGTGGTGTCAACTTATCCAGCCATGTGTTTTTTTTGTTTTTGTTTTTCGAGACAGGGTTTCTCTGTGTAGCTTTGTACCTTTCCTGGAACTCGCTTTGGAGACCAGGCTGCCCTCAATCTCACAGAGATCCGCCTGGCTCTGCCTTCCGAGTGCTGGGATTAAAGGCGTGTGTCACCACTGCCTGGCCCTGCCCACGTGTTCTTATCAGAGATGCAGCACCTGCTTCCTTTGTGATTAGAGCCAGAGTGACTTACAGAGTTGTTACCAAACCATATGGCTCTTACCTGGTTTTCTTTGGGCACCCAACCTTGAATTCTAGCTGCCATTCCACACCAGCTCTTACTGACAAAGTGTTCTCACTTGGTGACAATCCCTAGGGTTCATAATTCGGACAACTAGACTATGGGATTGGGGTTCAGCTCCTTAGAACACATATTAAGTATGCACAAAGTCCTGGGTTTATTCCCTAGTACCAAGCCCAATTCAAACCAAACCGAATCAAACCTTAAATAGTCTATTGACTCATGCCACAGATGCTTAGCATGGTATTCATGAGAATGTTTTCTCCGTGGACTAAAAGAAAAACACATTTCTTCAAAGCATGTAAGAGCGGTGGCCTAGAAAACGAGCCCGGGAGCTGGGAGGGAGGAACTCCCAGGAGACGGAGTTTCAATCTCACTTGAGCTCTGTGCATACTGACTTTTGGTGACTTTTGTGCCGTCTATTACCTGAAGCCATCCATTATTGGGTGAACCCATGGTAACTATCCACGGTACATGGTAACAGTACAGTGAGAGCCTGGGAGGGAGGTGAGGGCTGGTCTGAGAGGGAAAGGTCTTTCAGAAGCAGTGGGTAATGGCTGAGGGTGGTCTTGAAGTTTCACTGTGAGTGTGCTCCATCACTAACCAGCTATGGCCTTGTCTCAGCCATGTTTTCCTTGGGCACTACAATGGCTACAGGAGCCCAGCTTCTTTGCCTTTCTTTTATCTGCTCCCATCTGAGGACAGTTCCTCTGGACATATTCTTTTTTAGAAGTCTCTGGGTGGCTTTGAATCCTCTCTTATTATCTGTGTTTGGTAGTGGGGCTCAGGACTGATGAGCCCCTTGTCTCCTTACCCCTTGGGCCCGAACTGCCTAGTACCATTTTTTTTAAATTTTATTTATTTATTTATTTATTTATTTATTTATTTATTTATTTATTTATTTATTTATTTATTTTTTACCACCCCACTGGTTTCATACCATGATGCAGGCGTGAGCCTTGTGGTAGTAGGAGGCATGCATGCTCTGGAACCGCTCCTGGCCTGCCGTATCCCAGAAGTCTGCAATATGAACACAGTTCGGTCTGCCCAATGGGGTTGGGGAGTTGGAGGGCAGAGAGACCCCCACATGCCCCAAGCATTTCCATGCAGGTCTCTATGCAGAAACATGCGTGTATTGTGAGAGGTGTGTATGCAGTGCTATGTGTAGGAAGACCCAGACCCAGACCCAGACAGAAGGAAGGACAGTGCAGACGGGAGTCCCAGAAGGGAGAATGTAGGTGCCCTTTGTCTCCACACTGAAGATATGGGGCCCTAAGACTGAAATTTCCACAGATGGTGGACAGTCGGGATATGTGGCCTAGTGACCCCAGGGGAAGGTCATGTCCTACATTTGAGAAGTGGTCAGGCCACAGATATATTTCTTGATACTGGCTGAATGACGATCCCTGCAATGGGGAAGTCTACTCCCTGTCAAAGGCATCTGCGCTCCTTTTCCCTCTGGCAGGAACAGTCCTCCAGTGTCTGCTTTTCTACATCCTGGCCTGCACACTAGTCCTGGCCTGGGTGTTAGGAGACTGTATGTCCCGTGTGCCTCCATAAATGCTCCGACTTCCCATTTTTCTCCTTCACTCTCCCATGAGCCTCCTCTCCTACCACCCCCACGCTCCCACTCAGTGTGGCCTGGGGACCCATGCTGCTCACCCACAAGGATGGTCTTGCCGTCTACTGTGGCCGTGTGTTTATACAGAGTCAGAGCGTATGTGGACAGTTGCTGTGGCTGACTGGATGCAGGTTAAGGAGCAAAGGTGAATAAAAAGAGGTAAGGAAATGGGGAAGGGGCATTTGGGTGAGAAAATGGGCCCCCTCCTTTCTTAGCTTTTTTTAATCTTTTGAGACAGGTCTCACTCTGTAGTCCTGGCTAGCCTGGAACTCACTCTGTAGATCAGGCTGGTCTCGAACTCACAGAGATCCACCTGCCTCTGCCTCCTGAATGCTGGGATTAAAGGCGTGCGCCACCATGCCTGGTGCTCTTTTTGTTGAGACAGTTTTTCCAATATAGCTCAGGGTGGCCTCAAATTTGTGGCTATCCCCGACTCTGTCCTCCCTCTAAAGAAGTTAGATTTCAAGTTGAATGAATCCTACAGACAGGCAGATCCAGCTTCAGTGGCACATGGTCTAAGACAGGGCCTGGAGAACGTCCTGGGCACCTAAGTGTGAGGTAATGTGGAGCAGGATTTTACAGAATAGTTGTCTTAAGTGGTGTCATAGTGCTAGAAGATGTAACTGTGGACACTTTGAGTCTTTCATGGACAGAGTTCTGACAGGCCAGAGCATCATGGTTGTCTCATAGTAAAAACCACCCACAGGCTAGGCAGCCGACAAAGTATTTACAAACTGAAGGTACTTGTGTGCGAAACACTGACAGAATACCTAGGGAACAGCATCTCTCGAAGCTGAAATATGTTGGACAGTTTAATGAGCAAAGCTGAAGCAAGATGAGTGATCCTTGGTACAGACTGAGTGACTGAGGTCTGAGTCTGCGGGGGCTTTGGGGGGAAGGTCAGGGGAGAGGGTTACAGGTCCCGCAGTTCTTGCACGCAGCCCTCAGGGGTCCACTTGGGGAACTTTAAGATGTCTCAGTTACAGCTCCTTACTCCAAATCTGTACAACGGGACAGTGCACAGGATGAGGGAAAAGCTGACACCCTACATTTTTAAAGTTTATTCCTACCAAAGACTTGTTAGGCTCTCAGGAAAGAGGTGAAATGATTTCCCCACCGTCAGAACTACTAAGAAGGAGGTAAGATTTGCACCCAGGCTTTTGATACAGACTAAGTACTGTCTGCTATTCTTCCTGCCTCCCTGGTAGAAACCCCAATTTAAGTAAGCTTTGGATGCAACAGCCTGGATTATAGGATGCAGTTTGGGTCAGCCAGTGAGGAACTGGTGTGAAGCAAGCCCACGGGTCTTTCCTGGCTGCTGCTCTAAAGGGGTGGACTGGAGGTTATGATGCCCGAGAGTGGGAAAAGCCACAGGAACGAAGGACATTTCAAGTCTTTAAGGATACAATCCATCCATGAGAAACCTCTCCATGAGTCTGTAAGGGAAATGTGCGAGGTCACAGGTCACGTAGCATCTCTGTCTTCTTGCCCTACTTTATCACCCTGGGGCTGACAACTTTGAAGCCACATGAGACTTTCTAGGTCTTGTGAACTTTCAGCCACAGTTTCTAGTCAAGTCTGCACCATGGGAATCACCATTACCAAGCCCACACAACCAAACTGCTGGTGTCACTCTAGGGGTCAATTTGCATGAGGCTCTCTGATCTTTTATTTCCATCTCATATACGGCTATACATAGAATTATCCCGTCTATGCAGGGGAAACTGAGGCCAAGAGACTATTCTTGAAAATAACAATCAATAGTTAGTTTCAAGACTGTCATTCCTTAAGGCTTTGCTCAGATGTCACCTGAGCAGGAAGGCAACTCTGTAACAGGTAAGACGTTCCACCCAGCTTGTACTCTTTCATCCCTCTCTGTCCTGCACAGAACCCCAACAGAAACACTAGTGGATGTCCTTTAATGCCTCTATCAACCAGAACAGAGCATGCAGCACAGCACAGTGAATCTTCAGTCTACTGCTAGCTTCCAATGTCCCGGCAGGGCACTGGTGCCCAGCCTGTATCTGAACACTTGACGGTGAGCACAGCTAACATGCTTCACTTAGTGTACATTTTGGAGCCACAGGATAGCCTTGAAACCTTTTCTTGCTGTCACAGCCACTGACTCCCAATCAGACCACACAGTAAATCTAAACAAAGAACAAAACAACAAACCTCCCACCTCCTGGAAAGATATTAAAATCATATACATCTATGATTTATATAACAGTGTATATACATTTTAAATAAAAACAAATAAACAGATTTTAACATTCCTATGATTGTTAATTTCAAATGCCAACATGATGTAGTCTAGAACCACCTGGGAGAAGGGCCTTGGGGCCTAGAAATACTGAAAACTGGCGGAGAATTCTTGAGTCCCATTGAAACTGAAATGAGGTTTTCTCCCCTACCAGCTTCCTCTAGACAGATTCTACCATGGTCTCTCTCTCTCTCTAACATTCTGCTTGAGATCTAAAAGGGGTTGGGAACTACTTGTCTCCAAAATGTCCTGGAGGCCATAACTGTGTTAGTCTTCTGATGGTCTGTTAACAACTTAGTTCATTTTTAACTGCATTAAGTTAGGCTAAAGCTGACTGAGGAGGCACTCCTGGGGCTTCTCTCCAGTTCACATTTCTCCAAAGGTCTATCAGTTATTAAGTCAACAATCTGGTCTCCCCTTGCCTGCCACGTTGGTTTCGTGTGGCAGTTTTTTTTTTTTTTTTTTTTTTTTTTTTCAAGACAGGGTTTCTCTGTGTAGCTTTGCGCCTTTCCTGGATCTTGCTTTGTAGCCCTGGCTGGCCTCGAACTCACAGAGATCCACCTGCCTCTGCCTTCTGAGTGCTGGGATTAAAGGCGTGCGCCACCACTGCCCGGCTCCTGTGTCAGTTCTAAATTCAAGTGTGGACAAAGGGCTGATATTTACTGGGTAATCTTCCAAATCCTTACCTTAATTGTATGGGATGTTGTTGAGGTTAAAGCAATTGTAAAATATGACGGCAGAGCTTTAATGTAAGGTGGAGAAATGAATGTGGATCCATGAAGCTGGCCTAAAACTAGCAAGGCCTCTAGGAACTCCTCACAGCTGAGTCTGAAGTACAATGTGAGGTGAACTGGGAACTGGTGGGGTGTAAGACTAAATCAGACATTCATGTAGGAACAACTCTATCCTCATTCTCTGAAGGCAGAAATGGGCATTCACCCTCACCTCCTCACCCCCAAATGGGTGAGAGGTAGGATGCCTGATGGAGATAAACCAAAAGGACCACAGAACCTTTCTTCAGCTCTCCAGGTGGAGAGCTGTACACCTGCACAGGCAGGCACTGAAGAAGGAAGAATAATCCAATACCATCACAGCCAATCACCGTTGCTATCTGTGCTTTCAACTCAGGGAGTCCCTCCAAGAAAGCATCTTTTCCGCCTTTATTCTACCGGTCACGTTCCTCTCTCCATTCCCACTGTCCCGCTCCAGCCATCCCTCAGCCCTCACACATGTAGTAACATCCCCTCCTCCGCACTCTGTACTGCTCCAGCCATTCCCAGGGTGACCCGCTCTACCACTTCCATCGGGACTCAGAAAACTCCCTGATTTCTGTCCCTCCAACTCTCTCCCATTTCCTCATAAATACGGCTGAAGGCATGAGGCTGTTCTTCGGCCACACACACTTGGGCTCCAGTCGAGGCTCCCCCTCACCAGCTCATAGAAACCACACTCTTCATCTCTGGAGGACTTTTCTAATCAATCCATTCTGGGATCATTTCTTTTCCCTAATCTCCCAACATACTTGGACTTGCCCACCGCGCTGTCTCCCAGACAGATGATCTTCACGTTGTCATGAGCATCATATTTTTCTTGATCCAGCTCACAATGCTTGCTTCTGTCCCCTGCCATTAGCTCCTGGCTGTAGACAAGAGCCAGCCTTGGAGTCTTGTCACTGTCTGGAAAAGTCAACAGGAGGCCACCATTAGAGATGAGATCTCCCTTCAACTAAATCTACTTTCATCTTTTTCCTGAACAGCCGATGGCGCACGCCCAAGGACCCCGATCCTGACAACCTGGCCCCATCTGCTGAGTCTTAGGGCTGGAGCTTTGCCTCTAGATTCTCCCGTCATTTCCTGTTGCAGGTGTGCTCAGGCCACACTCCCCCCCTACCTTCCATACTAGATATACAAGTTCAACATACAAGTTTTCTTACTTGTAAAATGCAAAGCAACAAACAACAACAAACAGTGCCTAAGTCACATGGTAAAACTGAGATGACACTAACCACACAATCTGTGGTGCCTGGCCCACACTCTCCACCCACCTTCCCTTCCCACCTTGCTGACATCAGTAGCTGCCTCACACTCCCGTCACCTTGGTATTCCTCAACACTTTTTTTTTGCAAGTGTTATTTTTAACCTCCAGGATAGTGGTTCTCAACCTTCCTAATGCTGCGACCCTTTAATACAGTTCCTCATGTTATGGTGACCCCCCCAACATAAAATTATTTTCATGGCTACTTCATAATTGTAATATTGCGGCTGTTATGAATTGTAATGCAAATACCTCTGTTTTCCGATGTTCTTAGGAGACCCCTACGAACAGGTCGTTTGACCTCTGTAGGGGTCATGACCCCCAGGTTGAGAAATGCTGCTCTAGTAGTTTCAACCGTTTCTTAAATGTAGATGATGCAAACCACACCTACGCCAAGATTTTGTCCCTTCACTGCCTGAACTCTGATATTTAACTGCTCATGAGGTTTGTAAATTGGAGACTAGGGCATATAGGAATGTTACATGTTAAACATAAACAGTACTTTAGTTCTGTGCAAACTCATACTCCTCATATTTCCCTAAGTACAAGACAGCACTACCACTCAATGTCACCACCGGTGTGCAACATCCTCTCTAGCCTGGTCCACTCGCTTCACACCCAAATAAGACTCGGCAAGCAAAACTGCTAGGAATGCCCAACAATCCAGATTCTTCGCTGGCTGGGCGCACAGCAATTACACCACGGCACAGCGGCAGGAATTCGCACTCACTGATCATTAACTCGAGCGGACACCGAAGCGGGCTCAACTGGCTGCAGTGAGGGCTAGGACACAGGCGTGGGCACTAAGCCTGGCATAAAAAAACAACAACAACAGGGTCCCGCGTTGGCACGACTGACTGTATTTCCTTCCGCACAGCCACGGCCTCCGCACACGCAGGAGCATCGTGAGGACTCTGCCCCCCCATCTATCGATTCGCGATGGAACCCCCCAGTGACTGTCACTGTCCTCACGGTCTAGGGGGGCGGGCAAACTCTCTTTCGTGTGACAAACGTTTTTTAGGCGCCCACCAGGCCTAACCACCATCCCCCTCGTAAGGGACTCGCGAACTGCGGTCGGGCCTCGGCCCGGTCCCCGCCTTCCCTCCGCCCCACCTCTCAGGCGGGTTCTCCAGGCACTCTGTCCTCGCTTCGGCTTCGGGGGGACCCGGGACACCGCCGATGCGCTCGCCCACCACAGCCCCTGGACCACAAAGGCAGCCGGCTTACCCGCTAACAGGCGACCACACTCCGGTAGCGGCTTGGCCGCGTCTCTGCCGCTGCTATGCGACCGCACCAGGACCCCGAGCTGGGCTGTCCGGCAATGGCCCGAAGGACCCCACTGGGGCGCGGGCTGGCTAGCGCAGTGCCTGGCTGCCTGGTGCCTTCCAAGGATGCATGCACATCTGGTCCACTGGCCGGGAGCACCACAGAGTGGGTGCACTGGACTACTGGTCAGGGTTGGGAGTGGGAACCGCAGGTTAGAGAGGCATCTGACCAGCAACAGGTTGCTGCAGGTTGTGATACCTTTGATAGGATACATCTAAGCAAGTTTCTCGACTTTCGTCATCTGTGGTCTGTCACTGTATTCTATGAATGTGTGGGTTGTGGGAAAAATTTGGTAACTGTATAAAGTCTCTGAACGTGCAATTGAATGAAAAAAGAAATAAAAAGGAAGGAGATGACTGCTCCTAAGTATGGTGGGGAAAGTTTATTGTTGATAAAAGGGAGAGCATAGCCAGAGGTCGGAGTGGACATGATCCTGGGTTGCTCCATATGGTGAGAGGAGGGAGGTTTTGAGTTGACTTGAGTTTCATTAAAAAAAAAAAAAAAAAAAAAGACTAAATTTTGGCTTGGGATTAGGACAAACATACTTCTGCCATTTTTGTGCTATAGCAACATTCTCAGCATTGATCATAATATACCTTAACTGTGAAATCAACTATGAAAAATGGAATATCAAATGTTCAGCCAAGACTTAATATCTTATTAAATAAAACTAAAATTAAACAAGCACATCCAGATTTTGCTTTTGTCTTAAATGTTAAAATTTATATGTGTATCAGAGAATTGTTGTAAAATAAAGTTAAAACACAGCTCTATATGATTTATCATCAGTAAATGTTTGAGTCGTGTACCTGTTTTCTATACCTGTAGAGTTCACCTAAAAATTTCTTGAGGTGAAAGAGGCCACGAGAAGAAACCATGTGAGAAGCTTTGGCCTAGACAGCCTTATGTGAACAGAAGTTATGAGAGGAGCCCCACCCTGTTCTAGCAGTTCTGGGTTTATCTGGCAGGTATTTGTGAAAGCAGGCCTTAATGCTGTGGACTCCCTGAATGTGCTGCTCCTGGGCCCTCCTAGAGCAGTGATAGGGTTGTGTGATCACAGTTTCTGAGAAGGTTGGAGGACTGGATGACATACAACAGAGCACGACACATAGCATACATGGACAGTGTGGCTAAAAAGCCTTTGTAAGCAAAGGCTCTCGGGGGATGGGGAGAATTGTTCCAAGTGGGCGGGAAGAAACACCTGGCCACCATAGCAACTCCATTTTAATCCTGAGATCAGGGTGCTCCTTGAAGATGAAGGGAAGGAGCCTTATGGCCAGATCTGTATTTTTGGGTCCTGGGAGACAGACATGTTCAACTTCCCGAGGCTGGGCCCTTGAAAGATGTTTAAAGGTAAAATTCCAGGGAGGTGCGATGTCAAGGATGATTCTAAATGTCTGGTAATTATCATACTTGTTGTTTGGCTACTTGCCTCCTGTAATATTAGAGGGAGGGCACTAGGCAGGACTTGCGGGTTGTGGTCCTTCAAGTGGATGGATTGATAGCCTCATTTGGCTGGGGCTGTGTGACTTCTATGACCTCAAGGCCACTTTAAGTTACTTGGTTGTTGTCCTGCATTCTGTCTTTTGTTAGAGACTGCTTTTCAACTGTGAATTTAAAACAATTTTTTTTTGAGAGTGTCTCACTCTATGGTCCAGGATGGCCTCAAATTTATGACAGTCTTCTACCTCAGCTAAGATTACAGGTGTGAATCACTCCTCCTGGCCCAACTCTGACCTTTGATGGCTGTTAAGGAATTACATTTCCTTTGGGGTAGAGAGATGGGTAAATTGTTAAGAGTACTGACTGCTGTTCTGGAGAACCTGAGCTCCATTTCCAGCACCCACATGGTGGCTCATAACCATCTGTAACTACAGTTCCAGGGGACCCGACACCTTTTTACTGTCTGTTGTGGGTACCAGGCATGCAGACAAAAAGTGTCTACACAAAGGAATAAATAAATAAATGAATAAAAGAAATTGTATTTTCTTCCTGGCAAGGTCCACTTTTGCTATGGGAAGCCCACCAGCTTAAGCAGCCTTGCCCTAAGAGACATTTTCATAGGTATGATGGTAGATTACGCTGTTCTTAATGACTGAATGGGGTGCACTGTTGTGTGTTTGAGGTCTTAAGACTTCTGCTTCCTGCTGGGACAGAACTGCCTCCTACACGGTGCTGCTGGACCACCTTTGTGCTCCGTGCCAAGGCTTTGACACTCTTTCTTTCTCCACAGAAGCTCTGTTTTTTTGTGCCGGTGGAATATGTTGCTCAGAATCTGCTGATGAAGATCAGGCTACATTAATCTGGCAACTGCTTCCCCCTTAGCCACTCCCATTTCCTCAAGTTGGGGTTGCTCGGGTTCTGAGCTGGTGGTCTACTAGCAGCTATTTGTGTTCATTGTTAGCACCAATTTTATTAAATAAGTAGAGGCACAACCCATGTTCACATTAAGAATTCTGACAGAGCCGGGCAGTGGTGGCGCACACCTTTAATTCCAGCACTCAGGAGGCAGAGCCAGGTGGATCTCTGTGAGTTTGAGGCCAGCCTGGTCTACAGAGCGAGATCCAGGACAGGCACCAAAAATACACAGAGAAACCCTGTCTCGGGGGAAAAAAAAAAAAAAAGAATTCTGACAGAAGGTGGTAGCAGTGTTAGTTCTGGATTCCTACTCATGCTGAGTCTTAGCATGCTTGTGAAATACAGGAGCTCATTCTTAAGGCTTTTAATGCCCCATTTTAGAAAATCCACATTCAGTTGCTCGTTCCATTTCTTCAGTAAGCTGTCACACACACACACACACACACACACACACACACACACACACACACACACCAATGTATCTGGTAGAATATTATTTTAAAGTGTGTTATTTGTTTATGCTGTGGAACACTTATTTAATGATGCAAAGATGTGTTGCATTCTTTTATGTAGCATTTGTTTGACTCTGTGAAGCTGTGTTGCTGTGCCTGTCTAAAACACCTGCTTGGTCTAATGAAGAGCTGAGTGGCTAATAGCAAGGCAGGAGAAAGGATAGGCGGGGCTGGCAGGCAGAGAGAATAAAGAGAAGGAGAAGAGAACAATGAGGAGGACGCTAGGGGCCAGCCACCTAGCCACCCAGCCACCCAGCCAGCCATGGAGTAGGAGTGAAAGTAAGATATACAGAAGTAAGAAAAGGAGAAAGCCCAGAGGCAAAAGGTAGATGGGATAATTTAAAGCTAACAAAAGCTGGCAAGAAACAAGCCAAGCTAATGCCTGGCATTTATAATTAAGAATAAGCCTCCATGTGTGATTTATTTGGGAGCTGGATGGTGCGCCCCCCCCCCCAAAGAGCAAAACCAGCCAACAACATTTTGGTACTCAACGTGGGCCTAGAGTAAAGGAAAAATAACAGCATCCTTATGAGCTTTATTGGTCATTCTGGGCCACACAATGTGTCCATAGTCTGAAGAAATGGGTTTTTACCCAAATCTGGACAGTTGCCCTATTTCTGTTTTTTAATTCATTCTTATATATTTGTGTGTGTATATGTATGTTTGTGTATGAGTGCATGTGTGTGGAGGCCAGAGGTCAACACTGAGTATCTTTCCATTCACTCTCCAGCTTATTTTTTGACACAAGGTCTCTTTTATCTGAAACTTCCCATTGGTTAGAAGTGAACCACAGGGATCCTCCTGTCTCCACAGCCCCTGTACCTCCTCTCTCTGTCCTTCTGCTTGGTTGAGGAATGAGGCTGCATCTTCCCTGAGAGCAACCCTGCCTTTCTGACTTACTGAATTGGGCCCCAGGGTCTATGGTCTTACTGTAATGTATAAAATGGTGAACGTGTCTCTCACCTTCCTGCTCTCTCCTATGTCTCTCCCCTCTCTCTTGTCTCTACCCCCTCCTCCTTTCTGTCCTCACTATATTCTCTTTCTATCTCCATTCTGCCCCTCTCTCCCCTCTCCTGCTCTCTCCCTTTCCCCTCTCCCTTTCACCTACCAGAGAACTGTCCTGCCTTTCCTTTCCTACTCCACTATTTGGAAGTCTGTGCTCTTACAGTAGCGAACAAAGTGGTCTGTCTTCTTCTCTTTTCTCCCTCATTTCTCTCTCTCTATGTCTCTCTCCTCTCTCAACTCCTGTATCTCTGGTCTCTGTCCTCCTTCTCACATATACTCTTGCTTCTCTCTCTCTCTCTCTCTCTCTCTCTCTCTCTCTCTCTCTCTCTCTCTCATTTCTCCTCTTGCGATCTCTCTTTCTGCCAGTCAGGCAGCACATGTGAAAATACAGGTAACGGACTGTGCGTGGATTCAGGATTACCGTCTGGAACAGCAAAAGCACATGTGTTCAGGAGTGTGGCTAATCAGGGAAACTGCAGACACCTGCGCTCAGGGCTGTAGGTAATCAGGAAATTGCAAACACCTGTGCCAGGGCTTCAACTAATTGGGAAAAACAAGGACATCTGTGTTCAGGCTGCCAGATAATCAGGGAATCATAAACACCAGGGGGAGCACAGCCAATCAGGAAGAGGGCAGACAGCGTGCCTAGGGTCACATCTAACTAGTAAGAGTGCAGACACGGTATCCGGGTGAATATCTAATTGGGAAAGGAGAAAAAAAAATCCCTTTTGCCCCTGCCAATGTTGTTTGACTATCTGTGTGGTGATTGGTGCACATTGAACCTAAAAGAGTCTGTCAGGCTTCAAAGTCAGGCAGCTGAAACTGGAGGTCAAATCCTGAGTGTGGACACAGATTTATACACTCATTCAAGTGCTGGTATTTTCCAAAATGACTTGTTTTCGCCCATCACCGGGTAATCTGTGGTGGGCTAGTGTAGGCTGGACGAGTCAGTATCAGCAGTATTGAGTTGCATTCAGGAGCCACACGCCGACCAACAAACCTTTCTACAGTTTATTTGCACGAAAGGAGAACCTAGGAACTTTGGAGGAAACAAACATCAAGGGCAACAGGAAACAT